GCTGGTCACAAACTCCTAGCCTCAAGTGATCTGCCTGCCCCAGCCTCCCAAAGTGCTGGGATTTCAGGCGAGAGCCACTGCACCCGGCCTCTTCCACTTTTTATAAACTGTAAAAGCACTCAATTCATGGTTACTATTATTCAGGAAAGGCCATTGATTTCCAGTTTTTTTCAGCTTTTTCGTATTGGAAGGATGGACTTTACAGCTTTCGGCAAAGGAGCTCCCTCTTTGTTTTTTAAAACTCTAGATGTCTAAGTATGTGTGTTGTTGTAAATTCACCTCAGTGCTATAATCTGTTTGTCAAAACTTTGCTTTGAAAAACCTCCATCATCTCTTTTAACTGCTCTATTGCAGTGGTCCCCAACCTTTTTGGCATCAGGGACTGGTTTCGTGGAGGACAGTTTTTCCACAGACTCTATGTGGCCGAGGTGGTAGGGATGGTTTCGGGATGATTCAAGTGCATTACATTTATTGGGTTCTTTATTTCTCTTTTTATTACATTGTTATATATAATGGAATGCAACTCACCATGATATAAAATCAGTGGGAGGCCTGAGCTTGGTTTCCTGCAACTAGATGGTCCCATCTGGGGGTGTTGGGAGTCAGCGACAGATCATTAGGCATTAGATTCTCATCAGGGGCTCGCAGCCTAGATCCCTGGCATGCGCAGTTCACAGTAGGGTTTGTGCTCCAGTGAGAGTCTCATGCCGCGCTGGTCTGACAGCAGGTGGAGCTGACGCAGTAATTCCAGGGAGGGGAATCGGCTGTAAATACTGAATTTGCTAGCTAGCTTGCTCACCCACTGCTCACCTCCTGCTCTGTGGCTGGATTCCTAACAGGCTGCAGAGGTTTGTGGCCAGAGGTTGGGGGTGGGACCCTACTGTGTTGTGTTCTGCTATTACATCTGAAATCAGATCCCATAGTTAACAGTAGTTGTCAACACAGCATCTGGAAGGTATTTTGGAAATAGTTGTCTGTTCCATCACACTCCTGTGGGGCGGGGCTCCCTCTTCTTACAGGGAGGAGACCACGCCACAGAGCTCGGGCTTGCTAAGATCACGTGACAGTGTGCAGGGCCTCTGACCTCTCAGGCTGCAGGAGCGGGAGCTGCTGCTCTGTGCACCCTCTGTGTGGTCCTGTGCCCTTGGCTATCTTGCCTTCCCTCCTGCCATCTGTTCAGGCTTGAATCCTGGTAGAACCTTCGACTCCTCTGTCAACCACAGTCCTTGTGTGAACCCTCCTTTTCCCTGCTGAGCACCTTACCCTCCCCTGAGTCACACCCTGCAGGTCCGTGTGCTGCCGTCAGTGATTTCCCGCCCTTGTCCCTAACACTTCTGCTCCTCTCAGGTGTAATCCCTGGTTCTCAGTCTCTGTTCCTTCTTCTCTTTATTTCTTCATCCCACTCCCATCAGGTTTAGTTTTTTCAAAAGTCACAGTGACCCTATTTTCGCTTTACTTGAATATTTCAGAGGCTTATCTTTGTTTAGTCATAGATGCGAATTTCCTGTCACAGAATTAACTCAGAATCCCAGTCTGCCCTGATTCTGCCTCTTGCACCAGGAGGATACCAGGCAATCGCCCAGGCCCTTCTTCTACCACCACCTGCCCAGAAATCACCCAGAAATCCTAGCAGTCTCTAAAATGTGGCTGTAATCACCTTTTTTTCTCCCCAGCACCTTCCTGTAACTTGTAAGCTGTTATTTACATGACTGTATGTGGTATCCTTTGTTAGTATCAGCTACTGCTGGGCATTATAGGATACCTAACAGAGTTACCGAGACAAAGGATTGGGTCTGACTTGACCTTCCCGTGGTAATAGTGTCATTTTCTAAACAGTGTGAAGTGTGTGTTGATCGGTCTCTGCACCGTTCATGTAGTTATTTATGATGTGGTTTTCAGAGCATGGAGAAGGATCCTGTAATTCCTCCATAGTTTATCAATTACAGCGTTCAGTTGTTTTAACTTAGCTCAGCATGAATGGTTTTGTGCTGTTGTCTCCTGATACTTTGCCTTTCTTCCTCCCACAAACATGTTTCCTAAGTTTACAGTATCAGTTGTGTTTATTTTCGTTTGAGAACCGTTAACAGTTGAGGGACTCAAGCGGTGATTATGACCTATTTTGTAACATAATTATTGTACACATGCCATTTACCAGTGACATTCATTGTACCCAGAATCTGACCACATTGCTGGTTGAGAACATTTCTGCGCCCTCTCAGTTATGTGTTGCCAGCGTCTAATGATGTGTGTGTGTGTAGCCGTGCCTGTGCTGAGGCCCAGTGGTGTTTTTCAGTCTTCTTCATACCCACGTCCCTAACTGACTGGCGCCTGCCTGGGTGGGTTTCAGTCGCATTAGGAACTCCGGTGACACGTCAGGCCTCTAGTGGTACAGGGTTCCTCTCTGGCCAACCCTGCTTCTCCAGAGCCCAGACCTTCACACCCACCCTGTTTTCTTAATTGCAAACATTTTTATATGACTTCTGGAGTCTTTCTAACATGAAATTCCAATGCCACAGAAACTGTAGCATGTGACTTTGGTATCAGAAGTACAGTGTGTCAGACAGAACTTTGCAATTCCGGGGAAATTGCAAAATAGGGTTTGAAAATGTTATAGGACAAAGTATTCACATTCTGTTAATTGGGGCACAGCTTGAGTCATAAAACAACCTACAGTTTTATTCTTTTTCTGTCTTCTTGCTTTACTCTGTTTTAAAATATGTGGCACCGCACCTCGTACCGTAACCAGACCTAGTATCGTCTATCTTCCTGTTTAGACAATGACTTATGATATTAAAATGGTATGTTATCTTCAGTCAGTTTTGAATTCCTCGTCATTAAACTGAGGGCTTTGTGGAGAGAATATTCTCTTCCACTGCCTTTTGCTCCCTGAGTCGGAATGATCCTTGTGTCTTTCTTGCTTGAATAGGAGTTTACTAGAGCTACACCATAGGCTCTTCCCGGCAGTCATCGCGTGAGCTCATAAATTGAAAGGTAGTTTGGTTAGGTATAAATAAGTTGTAGAATTATTGTAATGGATTCTGTTTTCCATCTTCAAAAATAGTTTGAAGTGTACTTGTTAAAAGACTTTCCCAGGCTACAGTGTAACGTCGCCAAATTAGGCATAGATGGCGCTGCTGCTCCCTAATCTGCACTTGCTCCAGGCCACTGATTCCTTTCACATTTTCTAGCATTTTCTTAGGTTTTTCAAACTGTAAAGAAAACCATGTCACCTCCCTACATTGATGTTTGTTAACATTTAAAATATAAACTTCATTTTTATTTGGAATTTCTTATTGTGAGATCACCTCAAAAATTACCCTTTTATAATAGGGTAATTCTATTTGTGTTCACAGTAGGAAGATGCATCCTTGTACTTTATTGACACGTGCATGGAGTGTTTCAGTAGAATGCATAAGGAAAGCTAGCGGCACCCTCCTCTGGAGAGGGACACTGTAGTCTTGCAACCGACGCAGTCTTACAAATCCAGCAACATTGTGCCCTTCACAAACGTTCTGTTCTGCTTGCTTACATTTTCAAAACTATTCTAATATCTTTTGCCAAGTAAAACCAACTTAATATTAAGACTAAGACAGTGATCTTATCTGTAAGTGTGTACGTTACAGCCATTTGCCCACCCAGTGGAAATGCACATAGCTACACCTAGGAAAGGTAACGATCACTGTTACCCTGGCAGCAGTGTCCTAGAGGGGCATTTGTGTTATTGGACAACTGTGTACGAGCCCCCTGGGTTTTGCTGGGGCGCTCCTGACACCTCGCCTACTGTCCACTCATCTTCAGCTGGCCGCAGGTGCGCAGCTCTGTGGCCGTCTGTGGACGCATGATTCATGGATCCCGTGGGCCTTGGGTTCTGGTCAGGTGGTTCTGTTTGTGGGAGAGCCGGCATAGTTCTATGGGGAGCAGGCCTTGGGTTTGCTTAGCGGCCCTGGACTGTCTCACAAAGTCTGGCCGAGAGCCAGGTACATTCACAGAATTTCCATTTGAGCCATTACAAATGAGAAACATCTCCTGCTTTTATAACTCAGTAATGGAAATGTGCCCGCTTAAAATAATTGTTTTCTTTGTTTTGAGCCCTTAAGAAAAGAGACTTTATTTTACTATTTTTTTCCCAAAAGCTCAAAAAATGCTTTTCATCTTTAAGTATAGTGGTTATATTCAGACTAAATTTAATTTAAAATAAGCAAATTGTAACAAAGTATAAATATTTTAACATTCAGCAGAATGAAATGGTAAAGCAAAGAGACTATCCCGTGATTTGTATATTTATCGATGCCAAGAAAAGTGGAGAATTAGACCTTTTACAAACTGTGGTACAGCAGACTGTCCTATGTGGGCCTTAGCATGCAAAACAGAGCAGTAAGACCCTAGCTGCAACCCTAGAGGGACTCAGCCCCCCATCTTCCTTCCCTCAAGGGGGACTTCAGCCCCTCACCTTCCTTCCCTCAAGGGGGACTCAGCCCCTCACCTTCCTTCCCTCAAGGGGGACTCAGCCCCTCACCTTCCTTCCCTCAAGGGGGACTCAGCCCCTCACCTTCCTTCCCTCAAGGGGGACTCAGCCCCTCACCTTCCTTCCCCTCAGATTCATTCCTCTGGAACATTTTTCATGGGGACATGCTGTGTGTAGCACTGTCATATAACCATTCGTTTATAGCTTTTTATTCCTGCTATTCCTGTGTTTCAAGCACACTCTGACTCCTTTTTCTGTTTCCAAGACGGTGTCCATTCCCAGAAGGTCGTCATTTGTAGGTGCTGAGGGTTTTACCAGATGCTACCTCAGGTTCTGAGAGTCGTTTTAAAAAGCAGCTCCAGATCAGCCACGTGGTCTTTGGGATGGAAGCTTTGCTCTGAGATTACTGCTTGGCAATGAACAGCATTTATTGGAATGTATAGATTTTTTATATGGATGTTAAAAAAGTCAGACTTAAGCTTCTTTTACTGTATTTTGATGGTTTGGTGTGACCCACATTTGTCTTATTTTTTAGGGTTCAGGATAAGCCGCAGGTGCTGCTTTACACAGCCATTCCGATCCTTATCCCAGAAATCACCGTTGGAGCTCATCAGAGTGACCGCGTCCTGCACGAGTTCAGAGAGGTGAGACCGTGGGATGGAGACGGCTGGCGGTGGGTTGGTCTGCAGCACTGGGGACAGCGCACTCACTCACCCAGAAAGGGGTTTTTGTTGTTGCTGTGTTTTGTTTGTTTTAGTGAAGGAGCCTCTTTTTCATTAAAATAATTCTCTCTTTTCCCTGTATTTCTATATGGAAAGCTGACGAAGTCCTTAGATGACAGGCCCAGAGCAGAGATGCTCTTCTGGGCTGTTCTTCATCAGGCACGTGCTCTTGATAGGAGAACAGTCTGTTCATCAGCTGTTCTGTCCGTTTCTGTAACTAATGAGGGTTCCATTTCTGCAGAAGGCCCTTAGGCCATGTGGGAGGGAGTAGGGAGGATGGACAGCGAGGGTGGAAGTTAGTAGGGGCAGCTGTTTCGTTGATCTTCTTATCCAATTCCCACACCTTCTTAGCGAGTTACTTGTTCTGGCAAGATTCCGCTAGGTTCCAGACGTGTGGAACTTGCCGGGAGCCAGCAGGTGGGTTGCAGGCTGCACTGCGAATCCAGTCAGTGGACTGGGAAGAGCGCAATCCGTATCTGTGGCAGCAGCGGCCGTGGTTTCTTATGAGTAAATGTGAAATACTTGTGTTAAATCTGAACTTCACACTATGCCTTCAACGTGTGGATGAGTTGAAATGTAAACATTTTTGTATTACTGTAATTGTCCGGGTTGACACATGCAGATTGCCTGAAGCACCCATTGAGTCTGAGTAGATCCCTTTGCTTGCTTTCTTAGTTGACGTAGCTGGCATTTTCTTTTAAGTAAATTATTTGGATTGTTTTGAAAGCGGTTTTATTCAGTGTGAGGATTTGGGGAAAACACATAAAACCATGAAGATGTCGCTCACAGGCACCTGCGTTTAATATCTGTGCACACCTTTCTGTCCTCGTATACATGTGTGAGTTCGGGTGCTGTTTCCCCCTCTCTGGGTGGGGCCGTGCACGCCTCTGTACATGTGTGAGTGTCCGTGTGTACGTGTGTACTCTGTACGTGTGTGAGTGCGGTCTGTTTCCCCCTCTCTGGGTGGGGCCGTGCACGCCTCTGTACATGTGTGAGTGCGGGTGCCGTGTCCCCCTCTCTGGGTGGGGCTGTGCACGCCCCTGTACGTGTGTGAGTGCGGGTCTGTTTTCCTCTCTCTGGGTGGGGCTGTGCACGCCTCTGTACTTGTGTGTGAGCGTACGTGTGTACTCTGTACGTGTGTGAGTGCGGGTCTGTTTTCCTCTCTCTGGGTGGGGCCGTGCACGCCCCTGTACGTGTGTGAGTGCGGGTCTGTTTTCCTCTCTCTGGGTGGGGCCGTGCACGCCTCTGTATTTGTGTGTGAATGTCCGTGTGTACGTGTGTACTCTGTACGTGTGTGTACGTGTGTACTCTGTACGTGTGTGAGTGCGGGTCTGTTTTCCTCTCTGGGTGGGGCCGTGCACGCCCCTGTACGTGTGTGAGTGCGGGTCTGTTTTCCTCTCTCTGGGTGGGGCCGTGCACGCCTCTGTATTTGTGTGTGAATGTCCGTGTGTACGTGTGTACTCTGTACGTGTGTGTACGTGTGTACTCTGTACGTGTGTGAGTGCGGGTCTGTTTTCCTCTCTGGGTGGGGCCGTGCACGCCCCTGTACGTGTGTGAGTGCGGGTCTGTTTTCCTCTCTCTGGGTGGGGCCGTGCACGCCTCTGTATTTGTGTGTGAATGTCCGTGTGTACGTGTGTACTCTGTACGTGTGTGTACGTGTGTACTCTGTACGTGTGTGAGTGCGGGTCTGTTTTCCTCTCTCTGGGTGGGGCCGTGCACGCCTCTGTATTTGTGTGTGAGTGTCCGTGTGTACGTGTGTACTCTGTACGTGTGTGAGTGCGGGTCTGTTTCCCCCTCTCTGGGTGGGGCTGTGCATGCCTCTGTACTTGTGTGTGAGTGTATGTGTGTACATGTGTACTCTGTACGTGTGTGTGTGGGTCCATGTCCCCCTCTCTGGGGGGGGCCGTGCATGCGTCTGTACATGTGAGTGTACGTGTGTACTCTGTACGTGTGTGAGTGCAGGTCTGTTTCCTCTCTCTGGGGGGGGGCCGTGCACGCCTCTGTACGTGTGTGTGTTCCTGTGTACGTGTATACTCTGTACGTGTGTGAGTGTGGGTCTGTTTTCCCCTCTGGGGGGGGCGTGTACGCCTCTGTACGTGTGTGTGAGTGTACGTGTGTACGTTTGTACTCTGTACGTGTGTGAGTGCGGGTTTGCCCCCTCTGGGGGGGGCTGGGCACGCCTCTGTACGTGTGTGTGAGTGTCCATTTGTACATGTGTACTCTGTACCTGTGTGAGTGTGGGTCTGTTTCCCCTCTCTGGGTGGGGCCATGCATGCCTCTGTACGTGTGTGTGTACTCTGTACCTTTGTGAGTGTATGTGTGTCTGTGTGTACTCTGTAGGTGTGTGTGTATGTGTGTACGTGTGTACTCTGTACTTGTGTGTGTGGGTCTGTTTCCCCTCCATGGGGGGGCCGTGCACGCCTCTGTACATGTGTGTGTACTCTGTACCTTTGTGAGTGTCCATGTGTACTCTGTAGGTGTGTGAGTGTATGTGTGTACGTGTGTACTCTACGTGAGTGTACGTGTGTACATGTATACTCTGTACGTGTGTGAGTGTGGGTCTGTTGTCCCCTCTCTGGGTGGAGTCATGCACGCCTCTGTACGTGTATGAGTGTCCATGTGTACTCTGTACATATGTGAGTGTACGTGTAATGTGTGTACTCTGTGTGAGTGTATGTGTGTACTCTGTACGTGTGTGAGTGTGGGTCTGTTGTCCCCTCTTTGGGTAGAGCCATGCACGCCTCTGTACGTGTATGAGTGTCCATGTGTACTCTGTACATATGTGAGTGTACATGTGTATGTGTGTACTCTGTACGTGTGTGTGAGTGTCCGTGTGTACGTGTGTACTCTGTACATGTGTGAGTGTGGGTCCGTGTCCCCTCTCTGGGTGGGGCCGTGCACGCCTCTGTACGTGTGTGAGTGCGGGTGCCGTGTCCCCTCTCTGGGTGGGGCCCTGTGTCTTTGCTGCTTCCCTGGGCTGGTCGCTGAAGCTGGTGCCTCACTGGCTGCTCTTGTGTAGACCAGGACACACTTGGGGTTGGTTCCCCCTCTCTGCTTTTGTGCACGGGCAGGTCCTGTTGAGTCTGTTTCACAGGTAGCTTCCTTTCTTCCTGTTGACATCCAGGCTACCATTGTTCCCGCCCGAACTTGTGCAGCGGCTTCCTCTCTGGCATCCCTGGGTTCCGCCTCTGCCCTCAGTCCTCTTCCAGGAAGGCAGAAGCAGCCATACTCAGTGCAGGACCCGCTCTCAGTCCTGTGCCTGAAGGCCGTCTTTCCTGTGGGGGGCGTGTTCAGAGTCTGCCACTGCCGCTCTTACTAGATTTAGGCCTCCTTTCCAAAAGTCTGTCCGATTTTGCTTCATTCTGTTTTGGCGCTGTGTCAGTAGATGCATACACGTTTAGAATTGCATTGTTAGTAGGGTCACGCTTTTCATTATGATATTTTCCTCTTTACCTTTAGTGGTGGTTCTTACTTTAAAGTTTATTCAGTATTTTTCTTTTCTTTTTTTATGAGACAGAGTCTCACCTTGTTACCCATGCTGGAGTACAGTGGTGTGATCATGGCTCTCTGCAGCCTCCACCTCCCAGGTTGGAGTGATTCTCCTGCCTCAGCCTCCTAAGTAGCTGGGATTATAGCCACACACACCACCACACCCAGCTCATTTTTTGTATCCTTAGTAGAGACGGGGTTTCACCATGTTGACCAGGCTGGTCTCCAACTCCTGGTCTTGTGATCTGCCCACCTCGGCCTCCCAAGGTGCTGGGATTACAGGCGTGAGCCCCCGCGCACGGCCTATTCAATATTTATGTAGCGTTTGAAACTTTCTTTTGGTTAGTATATACATGATGTAGCTTTTTCTGTGTCCTTTAATTTCAACTCTTCTGTGTCTTTATATTCAGGGTGGATACCTTATAATTTGCAGTTTTTTAAAAAAAATTTTGTTAGTCTAAACATCTGGAATTCTTTTCTGTTCACGTTGAATGCAATTACTGATGTATTTGTGAATGGCCTATCTTGCTATTTAATATTTTTCCTACCTATGTTTTCTGTGTTTCTGGTTTTTTTTCTTTCTTGCCTTTTTTCCTTTGGATTAAGTTTTTTCTTTATTCCATTCACCCCACCTATTTGCCTACTAGTTATCCTTATAATAGTAGCTTTTTGTGACGAAGCTAATAATTAAAATATTTAATTTTGGTTTAACGATGTTGAAGATCAGTTAGTTTTCCAGTTCCAGAGCAGAGTTCCCCATTTTCGTGTGCAGCCTTATCTCAGTCTTAGTTCCCCCGGGATGCTGGCCCCCCAGGCGTTCGCAGCTGTTCGGAGCTGAGCTCGGCAGCTCTGCCTGTGCATTTGCCCCGTGGCTGCCCACCCCTCCTGGGCACCGCGCTGTCATGTAGCGTCCTTGGCCTTCTGCATGAAGAATTTTTGCTAATAATAAATTCTCACACTTATTTTTTTTTTTTTTTTGAGACAGAGTTTCGCTGTTGTTTCCCAGACTGGAGTGCAATGGCACGATCTTGACACTTATTCTTTAAAATGGGCTTAATTTGATCATTTTTACTATATATATATATATTTGGTTTGGAATGTTCCAAACCAAAAAAAAAAAAGAAAAAGAAAAGGGAAAATAACTTTTCCTGAACCATTTAAGATAAGTCATTAACATGATGCTCTGTTACCTTCCAGCACTTGAATGTAACGGGCTGCAGAGTGTGGTTGCTACATCAGTACCCTTTGGGGGGCTGCTGGGAATGCAGGTTCTTGGGTTTCAGTCCAGGTCTACTGACTTAGACACTCAGGGGAGGGGGCCCAGACACGTGTGTGAGTGAGTGCTCCTGGCAGTGCACAGTGCCCGTTTGAGAATCATGGCTGGGATGTGTAATTCTCACAAACAAGGACGTGCTCCACGTCCCCTACAGCTGTCAGAGTCAGCAAGGGGACTGCCCTCCAGTCCACAGGCCCGTTCCTGGGCAGTCATTGATCCCAGCCATGTTCTTCGAGCAAGAATATCCAATCCAGGGCAATGGCTTGCATCAGATTGTTTCGTCTCACGTCTCTGTGAATCTGGGTCAGTTCCTCAGGCTTTTCTTGGCGTTTCAGACCTTGACGTTTTTGCAGATTACAGAATGGTTACCTTGCCGAATATCCCTCAGTTTGGTTTTGTCGGATTTCCCCCCATGGTTAGATTCAGGCTGTGTGGCTTTTCCCAGAACTCACTGATTATATCCATTAGCATGCGGTTCCCATTTGTCCCGTCACTGCTTACGTTACCTTTTATTACTTGTTAAGGTGGTATCTTCACTATAAAGTTACCTTTTACTCTTAATAGTCAATATTTTGAGGGAAACTACTTGAAAGAATGTAAGTTTCACCTTCCTCATCAAACTTCACTCTGTAGTTTTAACATCTTTTGATTTTCTTGGCTAAATTATTACTATGATGTTGCCAGATTATAATTTTTGGTGTCTGTCATCCTTTCTGTATGACCAGTTAGTACCCTACTAGAAGCAAATACTTTCCCTGATTTATTTATTCATTGGTTTCTGTTTATCACTACGGACTCCCAGATTCTGGTTCATTTATATACCTGTATTTTTGTTTCTGTGTTTCTAAGTGTTGAAACCATGAGTACACACCAGTGTCTCCAGTTCCAGTGCCACACAACAAGGTTCATTTAGTGCTCTGCTTGTCCATATCCTTCTCAGATGACGAGAGACCTGCCCCCGTGATGTCAGCGTCTTTACCTGCCGGAATCCCCGAGGGCATAGCTGGTCTCCCCGTCTTTGCTACCATGGCCTTGCTAATCCCTGCCGCCCAGGAAGGTGTAGACGTGATCCAGGCCTGCAGAGCAGCCTTCCATTTGAACTTGGAGGGAAAGAAGGCTGTCTTCCTTCCTGCAGGTGGTTTTTGCCGGGTTAGAATTTTAAATTGTCAATATTTTCTTTTAGTGCTTCCAAACTTCACTATTTTATACTGCTGGCTTTTGTGTTTCTAATGAGACTTCCTCTTTTGAAGATATCTCTTGTTTCTCTGGCAGGTTTCTTAGACATTTTTCTGCCTTGGTTTTGTGCATTTACACTATCTCGGATGTGTATTGTGTAAGCAGGTGTGCATGTGCATCTGTACTCACTTGGTCAGGGGTTCATAACACTCTTTGAGCCTTTGGCTGATGTTCACTGTCTGTGTCACTTTTTCCTTTTTTTTTTTTTTTTTTAAGACCAAGTCTCACTCTGTCACCCAGGCTGGAGTCCAGTGGCACGATCTCGGCTCATTGCAACCTCCGCCTCCCGGGTTCAAATAATTCTTCTGCCTCAGACTCCTCAGTAGCTGAGATTACAGTCACGCGCCACCACGCATAGCTAATTTTTTTGTATTTTTAGTAGAGACGGGGTTTCACTCTGTTGGCCAGGCTGGTCTCACACTCCTGACCTCAGGTGATCAGGCCACCTCAGCCTCCCACAGTGTCTGTATCACTCTTGCCGCATTTTCTCTCTGTTCTCCTTGTGGTTCTACTCAGTGATCTGTTGGACCTTTTCACCACATGCTGTGTTTTATGTGGTTTTGTCTGCTTTTCAGTTTGTAAGCATTGAAGAGAATCTAAGAGAATCTATGGTATTGGGCTTGTGGTGTGAATTAAATGTTTAGAAATGTTAAGATTTCTAATCATATTTAAATGACTGGAGAAATCTGATTTTTAAATTTCTAAACATTTAAAAAAATAAACTTGAATTTTTAGGACAGTTTTAGGTTTACAGAAAAATTGTGAAGGTAATAGTGAGCTCTCATACCTCACACCCAGTTTCCATTTTATTAACATCTTTTGTTAGTATGGTACACTTGTTATAATTAATGAATTAATAATAATAATACTGGGTTTTGGGGTTTTTTTTTTTTTGAAACTGAGTCTCACTCTGTCACCCAGGCTGGAGTGCAGTGGCATGATCATGGCTCACTGCAACCTCCCCTTCTCGGTTTAAGCGATTCTCATGCCTCAGCCTCCTCAGTAGCTGGGATTATAGGTGCCCACCACCATGCCCTGCTAATTTTTATATTTTCAGTAGAGATGGGTTTACACCATGATGGCCCAGCTGGTCTCAAACTCCTGACCTCAAGTGATCTGCCCACCCTGGCCTCCTCAAGTGCTGGGATTACAGGCATGAGCCACCACAGTCAGCCCTTGTTACCTAAAACCCACACTTTGAATTATTCAGATTACCTTAGTTTTTCCCGAATGTCCTCTTTCTGTTCCAGTACCCCATCTGGATTATCGTATGACCTTGGGTCCTCTTGTCTCCTTAGGCACCTCTTGGCTGTAACATTTCTCCGACTTTGTTTTTAATAAGGAGTGCTAGTGAGGTATTTTGTAGACTCTCCCTCAATTGAGAGTTGCCTGTTATTTATCTAGTGATTAGACTGGGCCGTGTGTTTTGGGGAGGAATGCACAGAGGTGAAGCATCAGGGGCACTCGCTGTGAGCGCGACCTGGTGCTGTGGCCCTGACCGTGGCCTCCTGGCTGAGGTCGTGCTGGCTGGGTCTCCACTGGAAAGCTGCCCTTCCTCTTTCCAGAAGGTCCCCACGCATACCACAGGCTCTGTGTTACTCTGTTGAGTAAGAATTGTCCGACTATTTAGAGGATTTAGTTTAAGGAGATTCAGTTGCTTGATATTAAAAAAGGATCAGTTGGACTTAAATAGTAAAAAGAATTCACCGAATTCCTTTAGCTCATTAGAGACATAAGCAGCAGTTCTCACTGCATTTCCTTCTGGAAACAGCATTGTGGGGATACCTGGAGGTGAGTGCACAAAGCCTGCAGCCGTTTCAGATCTGGGACGGTCCGTGTCTGTGGCTTCTCACAAAGGCCCTCGGCGTGGCCTGCAGAGCCTCTTCCTAGATTGGCTTCTGTGGGCACTGGGGAAAGACCCCTTCCTCCTGGTAGTCCCCTCCCTTCTGAGCCTGTGCTCGGGGGGCCTCTCCGGGAGCTTCATTCTGGCCTGAGTGACTTTGGTAGCGCTCTTAGCAGACAGGGAAGTGAGTACCGGTGTCGTGTGTGAACCTCTGTGACTGTGTGTCCTTGCACACGACCTGAGAGAGTGCAGGCCTTCCCCAGGAGCAGGAGGAGATGGAGCATTTTTCTTTCTGACAGAAGGCCCCACCCTGGCAAGAGTGGCTTCCTTTTATCTGGCCATCCAAGGGACAGCTTGTGCAGCAGCAGTTTCTGTCAGGTGCTGAGGGGAGGAAACAGCAGTTCTAAGAGCACACTACAAAGGAAAACCTGACTAAAACTCTTTCCCCCACTGTTCTGCTTTCGAAAGCAAATGCTAGCGGTGCGATAGGAAGGCAGGCTCTCGTGAAAACGTCGCTTCTCTTTCATCGTTTGTGTTGAAGGCTGCCTTCTCATTCCTGTCTAGTTCAGCTGGAGATGACAGGCAGAACTTGGAAACGTGGAGGACGTGGAGAAAGAGAGAGGGCCCGGAGACGGCAATGTGTGCCGGGTGGAGGTGCGTCTGATCTCGTCAGAGCAGGCGGAGAGCAGGCCGGAACCCAAGGGGCCGTCGGTCCTGACACCTCACCTTGCCCTCGCAGAGGCCACCGGGCAAGGACAGTTGAAGTGGTTTTTAGTTGGGTCACAGGGTTCTGAGGTTCTGTAAGTATTACCGTGAAGTTTGAATTGCTAAAAAATTAAATGCTGTTTTCTATGATTACATGCTGGAGGAAGAAATAGGAAGTAGAGTCAAGACAAGAATCCAGCTTTTCAGAAAAGAGTTCAGTTTGTTTTATGAAAATTGCAAAAGACAGGTAAGTAAAGGAAAGAAAAGTCAGCCTTTGTCAGAGGCGAGGTGAACAGAAATGTCTCTTCCTAACCTTGCAGCTGGGGAGCCCCTACCCACAGCGGGCTGCACAGGGAGCGTGCTGTGTGGAGTGAGAGAGCGGGTCCCGAGATGCTCCCCACTGGTCTTTGGAGGTGAGAAGACCTTCTTATAGGTCATCAGGTACACGTGACAGGTCACTGCTTTGCTACAGGGGAGCACACAGCATTTGAGGGCATTCCACCAAGGATGTGTGAATTTTGAGCAGAAGGGATTTGGCGGCCAGTTATTTCTGGAGCAGGTGGAGGTCGTGGGTGCGTGCTCCTGGCAGCGGGTCTTAGAAGCCTGTTACCCTGCTAGGCACTTTCTTGCTTTCTAGGAGGCTTTTTTTCATGTGGAAAATATGTTTTAGCCAAATTCTGCCACCATAGTCCCAATTAATGTTATAAAGATAATAAAATTACTAAAACTGTGCCTTCCAGTTTCCTGAGAAGCTACTTGCACGGTGCTGCTGTACGCAGGTGGTCTGCGTGTTGTAGCACGCCCGTGACGTGGCGTTCGTGTTTGATCGTGGATATTGTCCTTGTTGGTACTTGGAGGTTAGGAGTTAGTAGGTGGTACTTCGGATTCTTGGAAAAGGAGTCAGGCTTTGACCTTTATTCTTTAGATTAAGGATCATAGTCTTTGTTTTTCTTCCAGGATTTTCCTGATTTCTCTGACTTCGGTGTTTTGCAGTTTTGCAAAATGGGTCTAGATTTGAACCTCTTTTTCTTTGTGCCAGTGCAGTTTTGTCTTGTTGCTAGGACCTTATTCCTTGCTTGTGATTCCCTCTTGCTTCTCCTTCTGTCGGCATTTTAAACATAGTTACCTTATGCTCTGTCTCTGGAGTGCTGCTCTGGCCGCTGTCTGACCGTGGCCATTGCTCCTTCATCTTTTCACCTGTGCTGGCTTCTTTCCTTCACTGTGTTGGAGACTATGGCATTTGGTGAGAGTGTATCCCTCCTGAGTCACGCTGTCAGATGAAGTACAGGATGCCAAGGTAAGCTTGAATTGAGAGCAGCTACTGTTTTAGTATAAGTATGTCCCGAGGTTTTAACTGGGTATCCTGTGTGATTTTCCAGCCCTGGCAGCCCTGTTACGTATGTCCCAAGGTTTTTAATTGGGTATCCTGTGTGATTTCCCAGCCCTGGCAGCCCTGTTAAGTATGTCCCAAGGTTTTTAATTGGGTATCCTGTGTGATTTCCCAGCCCTGGCAGCCCTGTTCCTGAAATGGCTGCTTGCTGCTGCCAGGACTCAGATTCCTGAGGAGCAGGAATTGATGGCACGTTTGTTGCCGGTGGTATCCCAGGCCCTGGAGGTAATGTGAATTTGAACTTGAACCTGTATGGGGACAGGCTCTGGTTACGAATTCTCAGTGGAGAGTTGTCCGCCGCTGGGTGCCAGCCGGAGTCTCCTTGCCGGCAGGAGGTTTCTTCCCTCACTGAGGGGGTGGCCTCTCAGGAGTCACCTCACAGGGACACTGGGGCGTGTCTTCTGGCTCTCAGCAGCTCTTGGGTGTCCCCAGGGCACTGCGGCTTCAGCTCACCACTCTGGCTTTTCAACTCGCTCTTCATTCTTGGTCCCTTGTGACTTCTTGCAGAGCTCAGCAATGCATGTGAAGCATTTTAGAGGTTTTATATCAAGAGGCTTTTCAGCATGTTAGGGCTGCTGTTTTGCTAGAAATGGAAGGCTCCCCTATTTTTCTTTATAAATGGAAAGCCTGTTTTGGTGCTGGTTCTTTCTGTAGCCATTCTACAGAGGCCCTGTCTGAATGAGAAATTCTGCATCCTGTATGCTCAATAGGTATTTACCCAGTGACCAATCCTCCAGGTTGCAGAATTGATTAAATTCCCAACCCTGAAGGCACAGAAGGGAAACCTGGCTGATCAAAGAATTCTTGCCTTTCAATTTAATCCGAGTTCTACCCCAGAGATGGAGTGCGGCATCTTGGGAGCACTAAGGTGGTAGGAATGACAGTTACCCAACACCCTGCTGCCAGGCCTGACGTTCAGACACTGTTGTGAGCTTCGGGCCACATCAGAGAGAGAAGACATGCCCTGCTCTCACGGAGCTCACTTCCTAGTGGGCAGGGAGAGCAGATGGTAAACAAACAGGTAACAGGGTGCCTGGGTCTTGGAGAAAGCACAGCTGAGGGGGCTGTCATGTGGAGAGAGGTCTCAGCACCTGGCGCAGGGGATTGAGGGATGTGGGGGCATAGGGAAGCAGGTGCCCCATGGAAGGCAGGAGCAGGTGGACACATTCTGGAGCTAGAGAAGAGCCTGTCATGGTGAGGTGTGATGCGGGTGGGGTTGAGCTTGAACAGGGAGTGAGCTGAAAAGGCAGCAGGCCCAGGTCAGCTGGGCTCCGCAACTGCCACCAGACCTCAGTTCAGCTGTACTCTTGGTGAGGTGGAGGCAGTGGTGTGCTGGAGAGTGACATCGTCTGGGTTTCAGGTTTAAAGGGCTGCTCTGCTTGCCATGTCGAATATCAACTCAGCGCAAAGGCAGAGGGCAGCAGCTGGCCAGGGAGGGCCCTGGCAGTACGGGTGAGGGTGCTGGTGCCGTGGGTGGCCTGAGAGCAGGCACCGTCTCTCATGTTTTTTATTGTTGACCCTCCCTGCACAGCCAAACTGCTTTTGGCTTCTCAGGTTTTCAAAACTAAGCAGACTATTGCTGAAGGATTCCAGCAGAGGGAGTCAGGGAAGAGGTACAGGGTGGGGAGTGGGCTGCTGAGGGCCTGGTGGTGGCCTTTCCTCACTGCGGTGGAGGCCCTGGCCTCTGCTGTGTTGCCTCTCCTGCAGACTTGCGTGTATGACTGGAAGAGCGGGCGGAGCGAGTTCAAACAGCACTGGGGTCTTGCAGTAAAGCGCGTTAGAGACAGGTAGTGGCAGCTGGGTGGGGCGGGCTTCTAAGATAGGAATTTGCCGTTTGTAACAAATGGGCTTTGGTATAAAGGCTTTAATTTGGAAACCTCAGGCATACTTCCTCATGGATCTTTTCCTGACCCTTAGGTTTAATGTACTTTACTGATGCGTGGTTGAGCCCAGGAAGGGTGACTCAGGAAGAGCACTTCCCAGGGAGGGGCGTGGCGCTGGGAAGTCCGCCCAGCCTGTGTCTAGGCACATTTCTGAAATCTGTTTGGAGGGTTTGCAGCTTGTACATTGAAACAAAGCCATTATTCTAACTGTCATATGAAAAGAGTTCTGTCTTTTAAGATACTTTTTATGAGAGCTCAAATTCTTTTATAAGCAGAAATTCCTTTTTTAGGTTTCTAAAAAGCATACAAACGGTGGGAAGACAGAATTCTTCCCCAAATCAAGGTGGCTCGCCCACACCTATTTCAGTAGACCTTATTTTAGCGAATAACCTTTATCAAATGGTTCCAAAGCATTTCAGCCTAGTTTTAATAGAACAGCAGCTCTTCCTTTTCAGACTCAGTTTTCATAACATTTAATTAAATTCTGCAATTGCAAAGACAAGTACAACTGACATCACTGCTGGGAAGCAGACCACTGACTCACCCACTTTGTGCGAGGGACAGGAGTGCCTGTGGGCCAGTGGACAGGTCCTGCCACTTGGCATGCTGTGTAGCTTGGCCTGTGAGTGGTCCGGTGGGGTTGGTCAGGGGAGCTTTCAGCTCAAGGGAGGAGGAGCTGGTGAAGAGGACCAAGCTCGCCAGAGTGCCAGGAGGCAGGCCAGACTGTGTGGGCCCTGGGTGCCAGCAGAGGAACCCGTAGAGGGGCCTCAGCATCTGTCAAGACTGCAGGAAGGTCAGGGGTGGTGAGGCTGGCCACGCCCAGGATGCTGCAGTGATGACCAGACCATAGGTGAACCTTGAGAGGAGTGTCAGGAGCCTGGTGGGAATTGGAGATTCCATCTTCTGTCGCTTGTGGTTTTGTCTTATTTTTAAGGGCTAAGGCATTCTCTGTGTTTATGGGGAAGAAGAGTAAGTGCCTGTGGAAAGAGAGAAAAGACGCAAGAGAGGAAGGGGTCCGCTGATGGAACAGGGATCCCAGAGGCAGGGGCCTCTCAGCCCAGCAGAGATCCCAGTTCACCAAGCAGGCATGCCCAGGCCGGGTCACTGCTTGCTTCATAGGACCAACCTAGTCTGCTGAGGGAAGGCTGGAGGAACGGGCCAGGGCTCCTTTCTCCCATGGGGAGGGACTCTGATGGACTGGCCATGTGCAGCATGGAGGCACAGAACCTGCATCCCGGGTGCTGCAAGGGTGGCTGAGAACGCCAGCTGACCTGTCCTGGGTCGTTGACGGGACCCAGTGACCATGTTGGCCGTTGTCACTGGAGCATCTCATTCCTTGATTCAAATCCACTGGTGCTCTTCACATCACAGGGCCAGTTCCAGACGGTGGATGATTCAGTTACGTTCCCATAGTGTGAAAGCAGCAGTGTGTGTGCCCGGCATTGTCAGTATACGTGCTTGGACATCCTGCATGTCACAGCCGATGAGTCTCTCTGGAACAGCTTTCTCTTGGCGATGTCTGGACTGGCCTTTAGGGGACATGGTCTCGCAGCTGTGGAGCATGCGCTGGGTCCAATCTCCACAAGTGGTTCCTGTCCCTGCGAGTCCTCTCACCTGGCTGCCTTTTCCCCTGCGAGTCCTGTCACCTGGCTGCCTTTTCTAGGCGTCTGGGAAGCCTGGTCTTTCCTATCAGCTGCACCCTTGAATGAGGACTCCAGAAACAGAAGCAGCATCAGGAGCGAGTTAGAGCTCCTAGCACGCCTCACTCAGGGACAGAGGCAGGACACGGGCAGAAGCAGTGGCAGCTCGTGGCGCTCTGGTTCCCGGGTTCCTCCGCCCACCCAGCTGTGTCTGACGATGGAGGGGTGACTTTGATCTGAGCGAGGACACAGCAGTTGGGGTCCAGTGGCCTTCATTACTGCTAGGAAGAAGCTCCAGCTGCCTCTTCTAGACTTTCCGCTTCTCTTATGTGTCTTTCCTTATCCCTGAACCTGCTTCCAGTCTGAGTTTAGGGACATCTGCTTGGAGGACTGGATGGAGTCAGAGGCCCCAGACCCGAGTCTAGGAACGGTCCAGCCCACTCACTTTTCTTCCTGGGGGTATGTAATTTTTGCTTCACTTGACTTGGTGCAGTTATAAGAGGCTCGCAGCTGCTGTTTGGGATGCAGTCATCTCAGTCAGTTGTGCCCCAGAAGTTGCCAGTGCCCTGGGAGCTGCTGTGACTGAGGGAATCGCGTCTTTTTACTGGAACTGATTCCTAGAGCCACTCTGAGCTCTCACCGCCTCTGCCACAGCTCTTGTTTCTGGCTCCGCGTGGGGGAGTCTTCTCATGTTCTACGTGGCGCCTGCCGGTCACTCTATGGTGGATTCAAGGCTGTTCAGCCGGTGGGAGCTCCGCCTTCCCTGTGCATTCTTCTGACCCCCATTTCACTGCACTCAGTGCCAGACACTGCCCCAGGATGGAGACACCACAGTTTCCATACCCTGGAGACTCGGCAGACCCATGCACAGAGAAAGCGATGGGGTCCCAGAGGCCATGGGACCCTTGAGAGTGTAGGCATGTGCAGGGGTCTGCTGTGTCTGGGGGTCTCAAGACTCACACCTCATAGGCTGGGTATGAGTTTGCCAAGTAGAAAGAGTCTTGTAGGGGAGTTGAGGGAGAAGGAGGGTGGCTGTGAAGGCCGCAGGCTGTAGGGCGTGGCCAGTAGGGGCACTGCTGGTGGCCTAGGGGCAAGCATGATGTCAAGGGAGACAGAGCAGGTGGGGAGGGCGACGAGTGGGGCGAGATTGCGCAGGGTCTCGGGTGGACTGTGAGGCTTTCTCTCCGTCCTAAGCGTGTGCGGTTGGGGTTAGGGCCGTGCTGCTGCCTGCAGGACCCCTGGGGTGAACACCAGGCACAGACTAAGACTTCAGGGCTTTTATTAGGCGGTTCTTGCGTTGCTATAAAGAAATATCTGAGACTGGATAATTTATATAAAAACGTCTTATTGGCTCACAGTTCTGCAGGCTGTGCAGGAAGCATAGCAGCGCCTGCTTCTGAGGAGGCCTCAGGACACTTGCAGTCATGGCAGACGGTGAAGGGGAAGCAGGTGCATCCTACCATGGCAGGCAAGAGAATGGGGCTGTGGAGCGTCACATATTTTCAAATGACCAGATCCTTGGCACTGGAGTGTCACATATTTTTAAATGACCAGGTCTTGTGTGAACTCAGAGTAAGAGCTCACTCATCACCAAGGAGATGGGCCAAGCCATTCATGAGGGATCCGCCCCCGTGATCTAGACACTACCCACCAGGCCCCACACTGGGGATTGCATCTCAGCATGAGATTGGGAGGGCACATTAAAACTTTTCTTTGACGAATAAGCTGGTGACACCGGGGCACAGGCCAGTAAAGAAAGACCTTTTCACAGAGTGGATTTTAGATTTTTGTATGAATAGAAGAGTTTATGATTTTTTGTTTGTTGGTCCTGTGACCTTGAAGTTTTTGACCAGTCCTGTCACTTGTCTGGCTAGTGTCCTGGAGGCTCTCAGATGCCTGTCTACACTCATAGGTGGCACCCAGCGCTAGGGCACTGGTGCCTCAGGAATCCAAGTTTTCATCTGAAACAGCATTTTCATCGGGCGCGGTGGCTCACGCTTGTAATCCCAGCACTTTGGGAGGCTGAGGTGGGTGGATCACTTGAGGTCAGGAGTTGGAAGTCAGCCTGGCCAACATGGAGAAATGCTTTCTCTATTAAAAATACAAAAATTAGCCGGGCATGGTGCTGAGCGCCTGTAATCCCACCTGCTTGGGAGGCTGAGGCATGAGAATGGCTTGAACCCGGGAGGCAGAGGTTGCAATGTGCTGGGATCGCCACACACTCCAGCCTGGGCAATAGAGTGAGACTCCATCTCCGAAAAACTAAACTAAAAATAAATAAATAAGTAAGTAAGTAAAGCAGCATTTCCAGAGGGGCCCGTGTACCTGGAATCGGAGCGGTATTTATGGACGTGTTTTTCATTGGCCGCCCTCCTCCATTCTGTGCTTGGAACTGACCCTGTGTACGTACTGAATGTGTGCAGGTCAGGTTTTACACACTGTATTTCTGCACAGCCCTTCCTTGGGTTAGACAAACTGGTTTGGTTTCTACTTTACCAATTCCGTCTCTTCAGTTGAAGGAGGCCAGATGCTGTTAAGAGACTGTGCTCCCTCCACGAAGCTGATCGTGTCCAAGGCAGTTGCCAGGACAACAGAATCTTCTCTTTTCTCTCTGCTATTTTTATTTCTTTTACTATCTCAAGTTGTTTTCACTTTCAGTATTGAGTTCTCCCTTATCACCTTTTAAAAGAGTGTTTTTAATAACTTGAGTATGTTGATACTCTATGTTCTTGCCTTTATGAAATTTACCTCAGGAAGGACAAACTTGGAATAAACAGAAAAGCGGTAGAGTCAGGTGACCCACACAGGCCAGCCGTGATTGCCGTAAATTCCTCATGACCTTCAGACCTTATTTAGGGCTCAGCTTGCTATCAGCTGTGTTAAAACACAAATGTGCAGTTTGAAAGTAAGTGCCGTACTGCCCCGGCATCCCCCCGCTTTGTGCCCTGCCGCGTGCACCGTGGAGACGCACACTGAAACGGCATTCATCCCTGCCCAGTTATTTACATCTCCGTGTGTGGAAAATTGTCAGCATGTATCACTTGAAGATGATGATGAGCATGGAAGGTGCTCTTTGCCGGGTCCCTTGGTTTGTGGTATCTGCCTATCTGCTGATGGGAAGTGATAAGACAGTGTGTTACTCGCAGTCTGGAAAACCAAGTGCCCGGCTTTACTGTATGTTGACATATTATCTTGTTGGCTTTAGGATTTTTAGAAAGCAAGCCATTTTCAGGTTCGAAACAGGAGCTTTTCCATGATTCACAGCTAATAGGAGTTAAGGACGAGTGAGAAATTTGAACTGTTGATATTTATTTATTGCAGCAAACATGACGACTACGTATGTATTTGCAGTGAGCTGTAGCTCGTGTCTTACAGGCAGAACACACGTTTTCTAAATCAAAAGATGGTTTTTGAAAAATGATTGATAAAAGATTTTTTGAAAATTGCTGCCAATTTTGTTATAGTTGATTTGTGTTCTGCAGTAAGGGAAATTAAGGGAAACTGTATATCAGAGAAGTGTCTTAATATCTGTAATGCTCATCTTTAATGAAAAACTTCTAAGCAGAATTCATTAGCATTTATATGTAATGATGGAAAACAGGAGTTGGAAACTGGAATTTCCAAATCACTCCAGAACTGTGCAGTAGTTTGAAGCTCCTTAGTGTATCTGGAGAGAGGGGAGCTAGTCATGCCCAGCATAACCCATCTTCTACGCCAGCAGAGCGAAGCCCACTCAGTAGACAGTCCCGCACTCAATCCTTCGTTTAATTTACATATTTACAGTAATTCAGTAAAGGATTTGTTGCTGGAGTATACACGTGTTTATTTATAAGTATGTATAATTATCAGTATATATTTACAAAAATACGTATGCATGTAGACACACACACACACACGCACACACACGCACGTCCTTCATGGAAACTCTTAACTGGGAAACTGAGCATCCTTGAATGTTCCTGAGGTGACCACTGGGATATAAACCTCCCCAAGAGCAGCGCTTTGAGTTAACATACAAAAAGGTCTGCAGAAAGATTGGAGTCACCTTTATCAGGGTAGAGTGGATCGTGGTCAGTAACCTCATAGGCACCCAAGAAATCTCATAGGTGAGAACTTGAGCAACATACCTTTACTATATGCTGATTGACAGATAAATGAAAAATTGGGGGGAATGAGGAGAATTCAGTGAAACCTAATATAAGTAGTATATGATTGAAAAAGAGCTTCTTGTGTTATTTTTAACAGAGAGCACACTAAAAGTCACAATTTAATTTGACTAATATTTACATGGGTAGTGGGAAAAAGATCCTGGACTTCTAATTAAAAGGTCTGGGCTCCACTTTCAGCCTGCCGCCAGCTAGCCGCGTGACCTTGGGCAAGTCAAGTCTCTGAACACCCTGTCTCTCTTGAAAGGTAGACAGTGCCTACCTTCACCTCATGCTGTCAGGGTCATACTAGTCACAGGGCATGTACTTAGAGGCTGCCCACTAATATTAGTAAGTGTGTCCGTGATTGCACTGGATAGCACTTTTTGATAAGTGCCAAGTCAGAGGAGGAAAGGAGCTCTGAGAAGGAAGGGGCATTATTTCATGGCAGGATTCTAGGAGGCAGAGGTGGCTCAGTACAGCATTTGAAGAAGAGTGAGTGGCATCGTAGGTATTCAATAGAGAAAGCCATGGCCTTGGCCAGGAATAGCCAGTTAGCTGCTGCCCTCAGGGAAGATCCGCCTGGAGACCTTTGCCATGTACCTGGGTGGGGAGAGGCTTGTTCAGGAAGTTTCTTTGGCTTTCTCCTGAATGACGTTTCCTGAGGATATATCCACTATCAAGTTCATCACACTCACCAAATAAGTTGTTTTCCGACCTCCTCTTTACAAAGCAGCATTTGATAATTTTTTTATGTAGTATTTCTTTCATTACTCCAGTTTTCTGATAAGTAACTGCAAAGAGCAGTAGGTTGGGCTGTTAAGTGTTAGAGGCTATCTTTGCAAAAACTGAATGACACAGAGAAGTTTGTCCATAAAAAGGAATGATTCAGTGACATCTGTTGGGTGGGAACTTCCTTAGAGGGAGGTGAGGTGCCCTCTGTGGCTGAGTTATCTGCTCCGTCTTATCTTACATTTCAACCATGTGTAATCGCAGGTGAGATTCACATTTGCATTTTTCCTGGCGTCTTTTAGAGTGGTTATACTGTAATTCTGTTTTACTTCCTTGGTGGACATACGAGCTACCCCTCTTTATTTCATTTCTGATGATTGCTGCAGGGTTTCACCATGGGCATCTCTAACTTCTCACAGTCAACCCACACATCGTCAGCATTTAACCACCGCACACAATGCAGGTGTCTGCCCTGAGGCCGCAGCTGCTCCTGCCCTCTGTGTTCATTGTGCTCTTATTCTCATACGCTTTCACAGAAATCACAGCGGACTGTTGTGATCTTGGCTTTAAACAGTAAGTCACTTTTACAGAAACTGACACAGAATTTTTTAGGCTTTTATCCCTCCCTCTGGCATTTCTGATGTGCTTCATTCCTTTGTGTGGCTTTGGGCTTCCTCCTGGCGCCACCTTTCTCCTGTGCAAGTAACTTCCTTCCGCAGTTGTTATAGAACAGGTTTGGGAGCAATGAATTCTATTAGCTGTTGCTTTTCTGAAAATATATTTTTCAACGGCATGTTGTTGGGTATTTTCATTTGATATAGAATTCTAGGTTGACAGTTTTTTCCCCTTCACATAAAACATATTCCATTGCCTCTTGGCTTGCATAGTTTCTGATGAGAAGACTGCAGTTCTTCCTAGCTTTGGTTCTTGTGCCTGCTCTACCTTCAAGCCCACTTATCTTTTCTTCTGTGGGCGTATGGTATGCTGTTAATTGCATTGTGTTGGTTTAGGTCTTCCAAGAAGCAGAAGCCAAGAGATTAGATGTCGAAGAGGTCTATTGGAAGAAAACACCTCTGGAGGATCAGGGAGAGGACGCCTGAGACGGCAGGAGAGGCTCTGCTCTTCCTTGCTGGTCTGTGACAGAGACAGGAAGAAAGCAGAAAGATTTGGCCAGGCCAGTAAGTGTCAGAGAGCCAAAGATGCCAGTCAGGGAGTCCCACGTCCACAGGAACAGCTGGCACCAGAAGCTCTTCTGCGTTCCATCGCTGATTGGGCGTGTTCTGTAAGGTGCGTGGCCGTGGCATGAGCAGGCAGCAGATCCTGAGGGCCAGCCCATGCAGGGCCGGGAGTAGCACGTTTTCCTCCCTGCAGCAGAAGCTCTGCAGGGCACGTTTTCACGGCCACCACACTTCTCCACTTGAATTGTTTCAGGACTCCCAGTTTTAGCTTTAGAAATTCTGTTTGGTGCTTTTTGTTTTCCAGTTCTCTCCTTGTTATGTTTCTCATTTAGCTCTTTGAGCGTACTGAACCCTTGGTAACAGCTGCTGTAATGCCTTTGTTTCCTAACTCATCGTCTCTGTCAGCTCTGAGCTGGCTTCATATTCTCCCCTTGTTACGCGTTACAGTTTCCTCTCTCATGTGCCTCGAGGCGTCTCACTGCTTGCCGGGCATTGCAGATTTTACATTTCGAGTGACAGCGCTTGCTCTGTTCCTGTGAGCTGTGTTAGAACTTTCTTCTGACAGCAGTTAAGGTACTTGCAAGTCAGAGTAAACTTTTTGAGGCTTGATGTTTCAGCTTTCTCATGAGCTTAGAATGGCCTTTCTTTAGAAGGGCTCAGCCCAGTACTGAGGCCTGGCCATGGGGTCCCTGTTGAATGCTGCGTGTGTGCAGCGAGAGGCCCCTTTGCTCTGACCAGTGGGATCTTGCTGACTCAGCCCTACGTGAGCTCTGGGAGTCATCTGCTTGCAACTCCCTGGAAATTGTTCTTTTCCTGATGTCGACTTTGTCCAACCTCATGCAGTTTTACCCCCTGCACACACCGATTGGTACTCAGCCAGAGACCACGTGGGTCCCCTGTACAGATTTCCGGAGCTCTTTTTCTGCCTAGGCCCCACCCCTTTAGTGCTTTACCCCCTAAAATCTAGTCACTGTGTCCTGCCCAGAGTCAGATGCAACCACCAGGCTCCATTTCTTGAGTTTCTAAATGTGTCTGGCTGAGAGGTTACTGCTGCCTGGCAGGAGGCTCTGGGCCGTTCCTTGGCCTGGTGCCTCTCACATGGTCAGGCCCTAGCAGTCTAACTGATCGCCCTGGAGCTGTGTGGTTCACGTTAACTGAAGTCCACAGGGCATGTGGGGAGGCATTTTTCCATGTCAGGCTTCTTTAAGACCGCAGGGCTGAGGTCCATGCTCGCTGCTCCGCGGAGGCCAAGCTCTGTACATCTTGTGCGTTTGCTCCCTCCTCCTTCCTCCCAAAAGTCTGCCTCTTCCCTACCAATCCTCACTCTGTCCACACCCGAGCCTCTGTCCATGTTGGTCATGTGGGATTTCTCCATCCTTTTCGCCCTCCATCTCACCTCTAGTCTTCGACTTTGGGCCTCTCCCACATTCCAGCTTGTTTCCAGGTTTTATGGAGCCAAGGAAGAGCAGGAGCCAGCTGCTTTCAGAGAGATGCCTTTGTTCATGTGTCTCAAAGCAGTTAGGACACCGTGTTTCACGAGTAGAAGGACCTTCCTCCAGAAGAGTGAGTAACTACGTGTACAGGCGTGGATGTATATATGTATGTATTTTTTCCTTGACTGATTTCCATCCGAACAGCTGGCATTTGAAGCACTGACGTAGGGCATCTCTGAGCTGTGCACCCGACAGAAGCCCCCGTGTGCGGCCTCGGCCTTATGGCCCAGAGCCCAGGTTGGCTGTAATATTTACAAGCGGGCACCTTTTTCTAACATAACTCATCCAGTCCTTAACTGAATCGCACAGACTCGGTGGCGTGGCTTTGGGTAAAAGAACAACATGCTTCCGTTGCCTCTGGGATCCCACCTGCAGCCGGAGCGTCCCTCTGTTCCCGCTGTTGCCTGGCAGGGGACCTGGCACCTGTGGGCACTTAGGAAGTAACTGTGGGCTAAGTGAACTCAAAGCGCGTCATAGACTCAGCTTTACTGTCCTGTCATTACTTTCCTTTCTTAGGCCAGTGATCGGCAGAGGTTTCCTTTAAAGAGCTAGAGAGTAAAGGGCCCCAGCTCTGCAGGCCACACAGCCTCCCTCACAGCCGCTCAGCTCTGCGCTGTGCGGAAGCACCAGCAGCCGGTGTGTAAACACATGGGCCAGGCTGTGCCAGTGAAGCCCCGTTTACAGAAGCAGTCGGCGGCCAGATTTGATCTGTGGCTGTGGTTTGCTGACCCGTGCACGAGGCAATAAAAAGCCAAGAGCCTGGCATAAATTCATGACAGGAAACCAAGGCCCTGAATCCGCCCCCGAAGTGTAAGCACCAGCGTAATCATCTGGACCAGCGTCTCAGCATTACCAAATTACACCCATTCTGATGGCTGCGTCAGCCTCTATTGCTCTGTTTATTGTTTTTCCATAAGCAAGCAGTTCCATTTCTAGAAATTTATCTTAAGCACGTAAATATAGAAGGGGGCACACGGTGTTACTTATGATGGGAAGACTGGGAATGGACACAGCCGTAGGCTGGAAGAGGTGGAGCCTGACGTGCAGTGTGGCCCAGGGTTTAGGAGCAGAGGAGACATGACTCCAGTTCTATCTCTGTGAACATACTGACCGTGTGCCACTCTCAGTAAGGAGTTACTTAATGTCTCTCTCTTAGTCGGAAAAAAGGAAAGAAAAAGGAAATCCTTGCACACGCTGTAAAATTCAAAAGATAGATCAGAGTATACAAATGAGAGGAATGCTCCTTCTTTGTTCCCCCGCCGCCCAGGGCCCCTCCCTCAGGCAGCCCGGTTCAGGTTTCCTTGTATGTAGCATTCAGGTTGGTGCTGGAGAGGGTAGCAGTACCCACCTGGCTGTGTGTGCCCTTCATCCTCTTACTGTGAGTCAGGAAAATCATCACGTTAGTTTACATTAAGTGTGGACTTCTGACACACAGATTTGCACACAGATACCTGGCAAAATCGGGAGTGGGTTTGGTGAGAATATCTGATCCTGTTTCTTTTTCCATGTTTCCTGTATGTGAGTCAGGATGCACGGGTGGGAACGAGTCCCGTTCTGAGGTTTTCCAGGACAAGAAAGTGCAGATCCACATCCCCAAACAGGCTGGGCGCAGTGTGTACACACACACACACCCCTGTCCCATGTGTCATTTTGTATTTGCTAATGCAAATGTGCACACCCTCTTCAGCCTGGCATGGAAGCCTCCCCACCCCCATCCTCTGAGTCTGGGATCCATCGGTGGGGAGCTGTCATTTCCAGCCCAGCCCCCATCACCAGCAGCTCTCAGGGAAAGGAACTCAGTTTCTACACTGGGTCAGCCCAGGTTGCCGGGGTGACTGGGCAGGGAACCTCCCTGTGCGCTGTCTGAAATCCCTTCCTGGCTCCAAGTCTCGCCCTGGAACTCTCTGGATGGGCCACCAGGGACTGATGCATGCCAGGGTCGTGGGTGGAGTAGCTGCTGGGACCTGGAAGAGGACTGGGTATGTTTGGCTTTGCAATTTACTGAGGTTTGTCCCCTTTCGTTAGTAAACTTGCTTTTGATTTCTAATGGAAAATGGAATGCAGGGAAAGAGCCTCCTGAAAGTGTCAAACTGATCAGAGCACTGAATGTAGGGAGTCCAAAGTGCCTTGAATTCAGAGCTCCAGTGAGGGAGTCACGTTTGCCTCATATAGGAGAGGGGTTGCAGAGAGGCGCCTCGGAGGGCTTTGAGCCTTTTCCTGTTAGGCGCGCTTTCTCCTTTTCTTTTTGAGGATTTTTGGTTTGCTCACCCAGTATACACTCAGCAGAAGCCCCGACTTCTGACAGGAGGAACATGATTTTCTTTTCATTTTGAAGTGGGTGTGTGGCCCACACCTGAGTATTTCAGCACATGCCCTTTCCATGTCAGCCTTCGTACGCACAGCCATGCACACAGGTGCCACGCACCCAGGTACCGTGAGCGAGCAGATCCAGGAAAGCTTGGCTCGGGAGGAAGGTCTGGCGAGGCCTGGTGTGGCTGCCGCAGTGAGGCCGCACTGAGAGAGAATGGGCTTTGCTGCTTTCCTCCGAGGCATTAGCGTGTGCTTTTTCTCCTGTGATGAGGGAGCGCTGGGCTTTGGGGGTCGAAGGCTTATTTTAAATGAGCAGATACGGACATGAAGTGTAATGGAAACTAAGGGGATGCTTTTGCGTGTTCCTGGTATGAGATGCTTCCGATGAGCCCTCCCCACTGCGTGGGTCTCTGTTGGCCTAAAACACTGAAAAGAGATCCCCCAGATCTGAGAGGCCCTCCTGGGTATCAAAGGCCAGTTACCTGCTGCCCGAGAAGTCCAGAGACACATTTCATGAGAGTGAATAGCCACTGGCTGCACTTAGCGGGTTTGGTCTGCTAGCTTATATTCTCTGCTCTGCTCTGATTTAAAATTCAATTTGCAAAGATGAAAACGGAGCCAGACTGTCCCAAACCCAGCCCTTCTTCTGTAAATACTGTGTGGCTGGTCCTGTGTTTGAGTAAAACAGGAAATGACAACTTCAGTTGAAAAACCCTGGGAGAGCTGAGCCGGCGTCTTCAGAGAGGGGCCCACGGCCGCATGTGGGCAGCAGTGTGGCTCAACGGGAAAACTTGGAGGGAATCTTTTGTTCAGGTCTAAACCTTCTGTTCTTCGGACGTCATTCTGCAGTTGGTCCTTCAGGTGAAAAATGAATTTCTGGCAGGAACCACCTCTGAGTTACGGAACCGACTCCAGTGCTCCTGTGTGCCGGCCGCTCAGCTGAGTTGAGTGCGGTTCTGTAGCTGCGTCCTGGCCACACTGTGCCTCAGGGGCCTGGCCGCTTTCATCAGCAGCTCTCGGGCCTGCTCCTCCCTCCGTGATTTTGTTCCTGGAGGTGATCCACCCTCTCCTGCATCCTTGGCCTATTCCCTGCACAGCCTTCTTCTTCCTGTTGTACAGACATGCCCTGGTATCTCCCATCATAAAAAGCAGACACCCTGCAGGAGTTGCCAGCTGCCACTTACTAGCGGCTTACAACAGCACGCATGCGTCCTCCTCAAGTTCTGGAGGCAGAGGTTCTACAATCAGGGTGCGGGCAGAGCTGGCTCTTTTGGGGGCTCATGGGGAGATCCAGGGCCTTTACCTTTCCAGCTTCTAGAGGCCACCCCGGTTCCTCAGCGCCTGGCCCATGTCACTGTGGCCATTGCCCCCCTTGTCCCATCTCCTCCTCTGGTCTCTGAGGACTCTAGTGATAGCCTGCGGTCGTGTGGATGTCCCAGATGATCTCTCAGTCCCTTGCTGTAGGGCCCCTTTTGCCAGGTGAGACCATGTGTTCACATGTTCCAGGGGCTGGGCATCTTGAGATAGAGATCTCCACCTCTTCTTTATGTGGAGACCCCACCTGCTAGCCCCCTGCACATGCACAGGCCTGCAGGCACAGACGCACGTTCCCTTACCTGGCCTGTGAAAGCAGCCCAGGCTCTGTGTCCCTTTCCTCAGCTGCAGACTGCTTCTCCCACTAGTGTGGTCCCCTCCCACAGCTCCTCATGTCCTGGTGCAGAGCCAGTGTTTACCCGGTCACTGGTACACAATGCCCTGTGTGTCATGCGTGGTCATGCCCAGCTCCTCCTGTGGCCTGCGCACCTCACTCCTCAGTCCCTCTGTAGCCTTGGTCATGTGGTGCTGCTCTTCAGCCTCTACTTCTCCATCACCCTGGATGCTTGGTTCACATGGCACTGCCTCCCTCAGTTACTGGGTGGTGGCTGCACAGCCCCTTTTTTTTTTTTTTTTTGAGATGGAGTTTCGCTGTTGTTAACCAAACTGGAGTGCAATGGCACGATGTTGGCTCACCGCACCTCTGCCTTCTGGGTTCAATCAATTCTCCTGCCTCAGCCTCCCAAGTAGCTGGGACTACAGGCGTGCACCACCATGCCCAGCTAATTTTTGTATTTTTAGTAGAGACGGGGTTTCACCTTGTTGACCAGGAGGGTCTCTATCTCTTGACCTCGTGATCCACCCGCTTCGGCCTCCCAAAGTGCTGGGATTATAGGCGTGAGCTACCGTGCCCGGCCAGCCCTGTCATCTAAGCCACAGACCCAGTTTTCCAACTGCCCACAGGCCATTTCTATGGGGCAGTCTGCCGTGTGGCCCACACCCTGCATCCATTCCACAAGCAGACCCAACACTTGCCTTCCCTGGGGACTGCCAGCTCTTCCTCTCTATCACCCAGGCCTTCCTGACCCCGTCATGCCCTTTGAGGCCAGCCCAGATGCTCATCACAGCTCCCCAGTCCAGAAACAGCACCTGCAGCCCGTCTGACAGACGTCACACCTTATGCCAAAAGTCTTGTCAGAACCGCGAAGCTCCTGCAGTCTTCCTGCCACCTGTAGTCACCTATAGTCACCTGTAGTTCGAGCAGCAGTGTTGGGAGATCCCCCTGATCCTAGAGGGGTCTCTCTTGACACCTCCCTGGACTCTGCCAGACCAGCTGCCCGCGCTTCCTGCGGGGATCCCACAATATCAGACCCCCTGGGCTGTCTCAGTGTCACTGTCTGAATGACCTGTGCTTTCATCCTAATTTCTTTTCAGATTTTAAACTCCTGAAGGAGCTGGGCTTTTCTTTTTTCTTCTTTGTCCCAGAATTCTCCTGGTACCTAAACAAAACCGCCTGTCTCCACACTGTATCCTGGGCCACCGCACCCCCCGCCTTTCGATGAGCATTTGATGTAGTTAGCATGTCTGTCCCCTCCAAATCTCATGTAGAAATGGGATCCCCGGGTGGAGGTGGGGCCTGGCAGGAGCTATCTGGGTCACGGGAGTGGATCCCTCCTGAATGGCTTAGTGCCCTCCTCGAGGTGGTGTGTTCTAGAGTTCACGTGAGACCTGCTCATAAAGTCTGTGGCAGCACCCACCCCACCCGCCTCGAGCTCTTGCTTCCACTCCCGCCGTGCGGAGCGCCTGCCCCCGCTTTGCCTTCCGCTGTGATGAGAAGCTTCCCGAGGCCTCCCCAGAAGCAGGTGCTGGCGCCTGCAGAACCGAGCGCCGATCAGACCTGTTTTCTCTCTGCATCACCCAGCCGCAGGTGTCTCTATAGCAGCGCGAGAACGGACTAACACTGCTCCAGCCGTTCCACTTCCCGGGCCACTCACAGCTGCCCACCCAGGAGAGGAGAGGCCTCCGGGGAGGATGGAGGCTCCTGGGCCTTGGAGATCATCGGGTTCTGCCTGTCCTGTGTCTGAAACGGCTGGTCTTGGGGCGACCTCCCTACTGTTCCTTAGGATGTGTTGTGTGTGCATCTGTCACTGCGTGACTGCTGTGGCACAGGCCAGGCCAGGCACATTTCAGTGACTTGTGGTCCAGGCGGCCATGGCGCTGTGGCTGGCTGTGAGTAGCACAAAGGAAAAGCTGATTCTTTTAGAAGTGATTTTAGTACCTGCTCTTAAAGGGCAGAATGGGAAGGTGTGTGTATACACATATTGGCTGTGTGTGTGCATGTGTGTGTGTTTATACACATACTGGCTGTGTGTGTGTGTACACATGCTGGCTGTGTGCCCATGCTGATTTGAAATATGAAAAACTCATCGTTTTCCCACCTGCTGCCGCCGGGCGGCACACACCATGCTGGGCGCTTTCCTCGCAGCCCCGCGCCGAGGCGGCCCTGTGGAAGCAGCACTCCTCCCTCTGCCCCAGCCACCCCACGCCGGCCGCCGCCCTCACAAACAGGTGTGTTTTTGCTGGCAGGGGCTCTTGTTGCCCCCCAGGTCCCCGTGTGCCCTGGGAGGTTGGCCTCTGTGGACCACCACCCGGGCCCCTGACCTCCCAGATGGTGGGAGAAGCGGGGCTGTTGCACCCCTCCTGCGGCTCCCTCACTGCCAAGCCCAGGCTCTTGGGCAGCGCCCCCTCTTCTGGCCCCGGTGGTCATCTCCTCCTGTTGCTCCTGGAGCCTTTCAGTGGCTCCTGCTAGGGTCAGTCCTGCAGTGCTTTCCCCTCTGCCAGTTTTCCTGAACCCTGCCCATGTCTACTCAAAAGGCGTGGGTTAAACTCACTTTCCTACTCCGCCAAGGGCTCCTTCCAGCCAGTGGCCCGGCCACTGCAGGCCCTCTTCAGAGAGGATT